TTTTAAAAAAAAAAAAAAAAAAAAAAAAAAGCTTTGCTGATATATAATCCACACACTGTACAATTTGCCCAGTTTGAGTGTATGATTCAGCGGGTTTTCATATGTTCACAGGTTGTGCCGCCATCACCACCGTCTGATTTTAGAGCATTTCCATCTTGCAAAAGAGACCCAGTGCCTTCAGTACTCACTGCCCGGCCCCATCTCTCCCCCCACCAGCCCCAAGCAACCACGGATCAACTTTGTCTTTATAGATTTCCTTGTTCTCGATCCGTGAGAACAGAACCATCCAGCACGTGTCTTGTGTAACTGGATCCTTTCACCCTGAACTATCTTCAGGGTTCGTCTGTGTTGTAACGGGAATGAGCGCTTCATTCCTTTCCGTGGCCCAATAATGTCCCATTGTATGGCGCTACCAAGTTTTGTTGGTCCATTAATCATTGGATGGACATCTGGGTTGTTTCCACTTTTTGTGAGTCATGCGGCCACGAACATCCGTGTGCAGTTTCTTTGTGCACGTGCATGTTGACTTCTCTGGGCTCACACCTAGGAGTGGAATTGCAGGGTCATGTGAGGAACTGTATGAGGGACAGCCAGGCTCTTGTCCAAAGTGACTGGACGGTTGCATGTTCCCATCAGCAGTGCACGAGGCCCTGGTTTCTCCAACACTTGTTGTCTGCTCTTTCATTCTGGCCGTGCTGGTGGGTGTGAGGTGGGACCTTCGAGTGGGTTTGATCTGCACTCTTCCCTGATTAACGGTGCTGAGCCCCGTTTCATGTGCTTCTTGGCCACTTGTGTATCTGCTTCAGAGAAAGGTCTATTCAGATCCTTTGCCAATTTTTTAAATTGGGTTGTTTGTCTTTTTTATGGTTCAGTCGTAGGAATTCTTTCTGTATTCTAGATACAAGTCCCTATCGTATATGATTTGTACATATATTCTCCCATTCTGCGGATTGTGTCTAAAGACCTCATCCCAAAAAGTCACCTTCTGAGGTACTGACAGTCAGGGCTTGAACAGAAGGGTTTTGAAGAGGAGCATTTCAGGCCATAACAGTGTCCTTTGAAGCAATTACGTTTTAAATTTGATTGTTTAATTCATCTATTTTATCTTGTTTGCTCCTGCTTTTGGTATCACATCTAAGAAGATTCTGGGGTCACTGGTTTTCAGCCTGAAGACCTTCTTTTCGAGTTCTTCTAAGGCAGCTCTCCGCTTTGTTTCTCTGGGCAAGTCTTTATGTCACCCTCGTTTTTTAATGACAGCGTTGCTGGATGCAGGATTCTCGGGTGTCTTCTGAGCACTTTGAACACGTTGCCCACTGCTTTCCGCTGAGATGCAGGCGTAATCTCACCAGAGCGAGCTCTCAGGTGACCTGTCGCTGTCGCTGCCGCTTCCAAGCTTTCCTCCTTGTCTCTGGTCAGCGTTTTTTCTGCGATGTCTTTTCCCCGTGGGAGCTCAGTGAGCTTCCTGGCTGTGTAGGTCCGTGTTTTTCAGTAGATTTGGAAGTTTTCAGCCACAGCTTCTCAGACACCATTCTCCCCCTCCCCCTCCTGCTGGCACCTGGATTCCTTGGTTGCAGCGCGATCCTTGCGTCCCTCTGTTCTCGGCCTGCGTAACTGTCACCGATCGATCTCCAAGTTCAGCAAACCTTTTCTCTGACAGTTCACATCCGCTGCTGAGCTCCTACAGTGAATTTTTTGTTATTGTACTTTTCAACTTCAAAATTTCCACTTGGTTCTTTTTAAATTTTTCTTTATTGATATTCTCCATCTGATGCAATGGATTGTCATCATACCTTCCACTACTTTTTTTTTTTTTTTTGCGGGACGCCGGAGCACAGGCTCCGGACGCGCAGGCTCAGCCGCCATGGCTCACGGGCCCAGCCGCCCCGCGGCATGTGGGATCTTCCCGGACCGGGGCACGAACCCGCGTCCCCTGCATCGGCAGGCGGACTCTCAACCGCTGCGCCACCTGGGCAGCCCCCTCCACTGCTTCTTTAATCAAGTTCTCCTTAGTTCTGTGAATGTATTTATAATGGCAATTTTGAAAGTTTTTGTTAAATCTGACGTTTGGTCACTCTCGTTGGCAGTTTTTGTTGCCTGATTTCTTTTCTGATGTATGGCTCACACTTCACTGTTTCTTTGCCTGCCCTATGGTTTTTTATTATTAAACAACTAGACATTTTAGACAATACAGTTTAGGAACACTGGATATTGCCTTCCCCTGCCGCCCAGTTCAGGGCACGTTACTGTCATTTGCTTGTTTAGTGATTGGTTGGATTATTTTAGTGAAGTCTATTCCTGCCCTGCCCCCTGCCACACACACACACACACACACACACACACACACACGCACGCACACGTGTTCAGCCCTTGGCGCTGCTCCTCTAAGAGGCCCGGTCACCCTGGGAGGACACGGGTTTTGGTAGCACTTGGGTCTCTTTCCCAGACGAAACTTTGAAAGTCCTCTAATGCTGGCTGATTGCTCTATTGTTTTCAGCTGCCCTTGGGCATAAATTCCTCTAGCAGCCAATCCAGCCGCATCGTGGCTCTCAGGGTGGAACAGTTTCTGAGGTCAGTGCTGATCTTTGCTCTGACCCCGGGAGGGCTCCTCCAGTTCTGCACCCCAGTTCTGTCCTGCAAACTGGCCACCACACAGCCTAGGCTGTGTCTTCATTAGGTCCACAAACGTCCTCTTGTTTGCCTTCACTGCAGCCTTTACCACTCGAGAGCACCCTTGGGTTTGAACTTCACCACTTTCTGTTGCAAATGAAGTCGGTTCCTCTGGGAAGTGATCAGGGGCATCTCTTACAGTCTGCGTCTCCCCTACACAGCATCTCTGTGCCAGGGCTCTGGGCCTGGGGGTGGGGCAGTGGCAAGCTCCTTCCTTGGTGACCCCCATTCTCTGAGCTGAGTGCCCTGCAGAGAGACGGGGAGCCAGCGGGCTGAGGTCTTCTCTGTCGTCTCTCCTGGCATGGAACCACCCTCACAAGCTGGGGCGAGGGCTCTGGGGGTCCTGGCGTTCTCAAGGTACAGCCTCCGTTTCACTGCAGGGGTGGGGGCTGCGTGGGAGCAGGTGCGCCTCTTCCCAGCCGCACTCCCCGGGGACTCAGCCCACGGGGACAGGGAGCCCCGCGTTGGTGGCTGAAGCCTCTGGACCGGAACCCCCTCCTCGCTGAGCTGGGACGCTGGGGGAGTCTCGGTTCAAATACCAAAGACTCTCCTTTTAAAACCAATTTCCACAGATTTTCTTGAATACATTTTTCATTTTCTGTTGTCCTTAGGAGTGTTTCCAGAGACTTTAAATGGTTGTTTTTTAACGATTTTCTCTGGTTTTGCTGGGGAGCTGGTCAGCTGAGCTCTGATTGCTCTCCTGTGGGAAGCCAACCTCCCAGTAAATTTCTGTGTTATTGTTTTTACAGGAATTGGGCTTTTTTGGTTTACAACCCTTGCCCTTGCAGTGGCACATGTGCACGGGTGGGCGTCAGGAGGAAGGGCAGCCCGGGAGGGACAGGCCTCCCTACCCCCAACACGTGTGTCCTTCCCCCACCCCCAGGGCGAGTGCTCCCCCAGGTGCCGCAACCTATTTGTGCTGGAGACGGTGTGCGTGGCCTGGTTCTCCTTCGAGTTCCTGCTGCGCTCGCTGCAGGCTGAGAGCAAGTGTGCCTTCCTGCGGACACCGCTCAACATCATCGACATCCTGGCCATCCTGCCCTTCTACGTGTCGCTGCTCGTGGGCCTGGCGGCGCGGCCGGGCGCAGGCGGCAACAAGCTGCTGGAGCGCGCGGGGCTGGTGCTGCGGCTGTTGCGCGCGCTGCGCGTGCTCTACGTGATGCGCCTGGCGCGCCACTCGCTGGGGCTGCGCTCGCTCGGCCTGACCGTGCGCCGCTGCGCGCGCGAGTTCGGGCTGCTTCTGCTCTTCCTCTGCGTCGCCATGGCCCTCTTTGCGCCACTTGTGCACCTGGCCGAGCGCGAGCTGGGCGCGCGCCGCGACTTCTCCAGCGTGCCGGCCAGCTACTGGTGGGCCGTCATCTCCATGACCACCGTGGGCTACGGCGACATGGTGCCGCGCAGCCTCCCCGGGCAGGTGGTGGCGCTCAGCAGCATCCTCAGCGGCATCCTGCTCATGGCCTTCCCGGTCACCTCCATCTTCCACACCTTCTCGCGCTCCTACTCAGAGCTCAAGCAGCAGCAGCAGTGCGCCGCCAGCCCCGAGCCCGCCCTGCGCGAGGACAGCACGCACTCCGCCTCTGCCTGCGCCTCCGCCGCGGAAGACGACGGCTCGCAGGGCCCTGACGGTGCCGGCCCGGCCGGGGACTCCGTGGCCGGGCTGTGGACATCCGCGGGGCTGCCCTGACCCGGCGGGGACGCGGCACCGGCGAAGAGGCTGCTCCCCCGGAGCTCCACGATCAGAACCGCATTCTCGCCTCCCGCCGCGCACGGAGGGACGGGGACGACTTCGGGGGCCCGGCTCCCTTTGCCGCGCATGTTGCTCGCCCCACACAGCCCAGAACTTGGCCCGGGGCTGACCCCGGCCTGAATCGGGGGTCACAGCCATCCTGTGCTTTGAAAGAGTTGAACTCCAAGGAGCGTCACCAGCCTGTTCTCCGCTTTCCTTTTGTCTCTGGACTTTTGACTCCATGATGGCCAGCTAAAAGTAAATTCAACGATCCCAGAAGCTCCAAGCCTGTAGCAGACGCCAGAAGGCCACACTCGTCCCCAGGCCTCACCTTGACCTTCCCCTGCTCGTCACTGGTGGGGCGCAGTGGGGCTGGGAGAGGGCACAGTCCCTTCCTGCACCCGCCGTGTCACCCACAGTGGGCCATGCCCATCAGAGGGGGTCTCCCCATCACGTCTGCAGAAGCCCACATCGCTGCCAAGCGATAGGGACAGAGGTGTGACACTGATGCTCACAGCACGCCAGTTCCTTAGTGGCGGGGGGGGGGGGGGGGGGGGTCCCAGCCCTGACCTCTGACCTCCCTTCCCGGGCACGGGCTCCGTGGGGATCTTCCGGGATCCCTCCTCACCTGTTCGCCCCTGAAAACGCCCGGCAAAAATGAAGGCCTGCACGTCAGCCGGCCCCACCCTCCCCTCGGGCGCCCCGGCCCCGGCCCCGCCCGGAGTGACTGAGCTGCTTTTCCGGAGGCCAGAGGAATCTGTGCTGACGCATCACTCGTCACCCAGCACAGCTGGTCGTCCGGGAAGGACCGCTTCCTCCTGCGGGGCGGGGAGGCCTCGCTGAGTTTCCCTCCAAGGGTTCGGTCAGCGGTGGAGTGACCCAAGGCCGCTGTCCCCTGTCCTCCCCCCCCCACCCCCGCTGCAGTGGCTCTGAGGGAACCCAGGCGCCCTGCAAGACCAGAGGCCACCTCGGGTCACGGGATGGGGTGCCCGTCGGCCATCCTGCTGGGAACCGCGGGTGTGTGGGGAGGGGCAGAGCACACCCACTGCCCACCATGCGGGCCGAGCGCCAGCCGCTGGCTTGTCTGTTCCGTCT